CCCAGGGCATTCTATCCTTGCCAACACCCCAATGGCATTTTTCACAGAAACAGAGCAAGCAATCCTAAAATTTGTATGAAACCACAAAAGACCTGAAATAGCCAAAACAATCTTAAGCAAAAAGATTGCTTTGATGACTAGAAAGCTATAATCATCAAAATAGCATGGTACTGGCATAAACATAGACATATAGACAAATGGAACAGAATAGAGAACCCAGAAATAAATCCATGCATTTTTCAGTCAACCGATTTTCAATAAAGGTGCCAAGAACACACAATGGTGAAAGGACAGTCTCTTTAATAAACGGTGTTGAGAAAACTGCATATCCCCTTGTAGAAGAATGAAACTGGACCCTTAACTCATTCCACATACAAAAATCAACTCCAAATGGATTAATGAATTATTGTAAGACCTGAGTCTATAAAAATACTAGAAGAAAACATGGGAAAAAAGCTTCTTAACAGGGCCAGGCAGAGTGGCTCACGCCTGTAATCCTAGCACTCTGGGAGGCCGAGGCAGGCGGATTGTTTGAGCTCAGGAGTTCGAAACCAGCCTGAGCAAGAGCGAGACCCCGTCTCTACTAAAAATAGAAAGAAATTAATCGGACAACTAAAAATATACAGAAAAAACTAGCCGGGCATGGTGGAGCATGCCTGTAGTCCCAGCTACTCGGGAGGCTGAGGCAGTAGGATCGCTTGAGCCCAGGAGTTTGAAGTTGCTGTGAGCTAGGCTGACGCCACGGCACTCTAGCCCGGGCAACACAGTGAGACTCTGTCTCAAAAAAATAAAATAAAATAAAATAAAATAAACATAGACACATAGAAGAAAATAATTTTATAAAGTATTACATTTACTATTTTCCTTATGTGGTGTCAAATATTCTTGTGCTTTGAATAAGAAAAGGATTGAGAGAAGAAAAGATGAACAATGTAAGATGCCAGGTTCTCTCTAGTTTTTTCCACTATCTACCTGCTGAATAGTACCCTTGACATCTTGCTAAGTAGATACCCTCCTCTAAGGAGGGGAAAATAAATTGTTAACACGAGAGGCTCAATAAGCCAAATCTCTATCTATAAAGATTACAATATAATATTCAAATATACACAAAAATATTCTATGAATATTTGCTGATTGATTCATTATTCAAGATGGAAAAAATCTCATTATAAAAGAGAAATACTGAGTGACAAACCCCATATCAGAGGATGCTGCTGTCTGTTCTCATAATGTATAAAACAACACAAGACTTCAATGCTCAAACAATCCACAAAGTGTCTATCATTACTCAGATTGTATCTTAGAGAAATCAAAGCGCTAATAATTCAAGCTTGTTTTGAAAATTTATTCATCTTCTTGTGGCCAGAAATCAATATTTCAAACCCAAAAGATAGAGAATTCAAGCAAAAGAAGTCTTAAAGAGGCGGCAGCATGATACAGTGCTGTAGCAACCTCTGATCAGCATCAGACTTACCAGTGGAGCTTTTTCAAAATCATATGCCCACTTCCCACCACGTGGAGATTGCAATTCATTAGGTCTGGGATGATGCCCTTCCTATACTGATGTAGTGAAAAGAATACACACTTTTGATTCCTAGCTTTTCCACTTCTTTGCTTGGTGAAATTAGGCAAGTCACAACCTCTTTGAGCCTCAGTTTTCTTAACTGTAAAATAGGGATAGTAATGTCTACCACATAGGATTGATCTTATGAGCATCAAATGAGATCACTGACATGAAAGCATTCCATAAACTATAAGTCAGTATACAAAAATGTGAACACTTTTGGCATTCAAAACTACTATCAGTGCCAAGAATTGTAATAAAGGTGCTTATTTGTTCCTATGTGGTACTTACTATTGCTGGTGAAGAAAAGAAAAGCTGTCTGAAATCATATCCTAGCAGATCTATAAAGTATTGTAACTTATGCTGATGCATCAGGGAACCTTAGGTTTGCTCTTCCTTAGAAGAGCAAACAAAAGCTCCAAGGTTGGATCTGAGCTGCTGCTCACCAACAATGAATCATGGCCATTATATAAGAAACTAAATGCTAGACTGACCATCACATAGTATGCTACTAAGTGATGATGACAACACAATCCATCCAAAGACAGTAAACTACACCAAATGGATCCACTACAAATTTATGTTAACTTCAATCACACCCACGCTGCAGTTCAGCAATCAAGAATGTTATAGCTTCCAGCACTATGTCAAGCATAGAGTAGATGCTCAGTAAAAATTAGTTTCCTTCTTTGTTAATTTCTTTATTACATTTCCCACACAGATGGTCAAACACTGTGTCATCTTCTTCAAGTCCTCTGTAACATGGTATATCCTCCTGCTGCACCTCTCCCCAGAATTGCTTTACCTCCCACCTTAAAAAAAAACTCATCCCCGAAACCATTTATTTCTATTATGCATCAATTTTTTAAAAATCTCAGGTGCTCCCTTGTCCAACACCTAATTCTCTTATACAATTTAAAATATCTGTGTTGACCGGGTGTGGTGGCTCATGCCTGTAATCCTAGCACTCTGGGAGGCCGAGGTGGGAG